CTGGACACCTGTAGGGTATGAATTCAAATTTGGAATCTGTAAAATTGGTTTGAAATTTTAAAGAAAAAAAAGTAAACTCTTAAAAACCAAATTTATTTGTGATAACTGTGCAAACATTTGACGACACCTGTTTTCCAATTGATACCGACAATTCAATACAGCAGGGTAATACCTCTGTGTATCTGAAATTATAGAACAAATGAGTACGTTTAGAAAGAGGAGAGGGGGAATCTTTACAACTTAAATTAATCTTAAAATGAAACTTCAACCCAACACCGTTTCCACTTTCAGTTTTGCTTTGCTTTCATCTTGTGTCCAGTTCATCTCAAACCAGCTCCATGAGATTTAAACCTGCAGACTGCTGCACCACATCATAAGAAGCTCCGTCTGGTTTTTCTCATTATCTTGCTCTTGGATGAACCACAGAAAAACCAGTCTGTCTTTGTCTCATCATGATAACACAGTGATAACTCACACAGTACAGCATTGTCCTAATGATGCATCAGAGGGTGCAGTATCAGTTTGTGCCGACCTGTTTCTTTACAGACAGGAACCCAAAAGTTTTCTTTAGTGTCAAGACTTAATTTCCTTCCACTGGTGCAGGAAAGCTGTAAGTCAGTTTACTTCTTCATGGCTAAAAAATGACTGTTTTCTATTAACTTTGTGTTTACTGGACTTTAACTGCTTGAGGGTCAATACAAAGTATGAAACCTCCTTTCTTTATTCGCTTCAAGGAAACAAAGGAGGTCTTGTCTTATCCACTCAGATCCAAACCACTTTGATTTATAACCAAAGAAGCACTTAGCCTCATATGGGGAAACAAAAATACTTACCACACACCCACACACAAACACTGAATACTTACTTTTTATTGCAACTAAGCGCTCTGTTTAATTAAAAAAGTTACAGGGGCGACTCATCAGCCATAATTTCTCAGTGAACATTAAACTTTTATTCATTTTCTTCTGTCTGACAGCTCCTTAGACATTTCACTGCATGTCTTGACCTAAACAACAGTGACTTGCACTTATGAAGTTACATTTGATAGATGAGTGATTTAAGTTTGTGACTACATGGATCTGTTCAGTTACATCTGTCATTTTTACATTAGACACGTTGATCTTCTTTTTGTTCTTCTTGTTTTTCTTCCTCTTCATTCGGTCTAATACCAGGTGGCAACCAATTGTTTTGGAGTTTGAATCAAAGTTATCTCGGTCATATGAAATTATTTTGTCCAATCCTGTCTCTTTCAGATAATGGAGCATACTCCCTATTCCAAAACTAAATACTATTTCTAAACTCAGTTCTTCCACTCCATGCTTTTCAATTTCCCTTTTTAGCTTTTAATAATATCAATAATCTTCTTCTCTTCAGTTTGGTTTATTGGCAGGTGGCAACCAAAAGTCAAGGTGCATTGCCGACATCTACTGTATCTCTTGATATTTGATAGCTTCTCCCATCTTCAATAGCTAGGCTGTGTCATGCTCTATGTAACAACACCTGACTTCATGTTGTGTCCACCTCATCTTGTCCTCCCCCAGTCCACTTGCCAATAAAGGAGGGAGACCTGCTGGGCTCCCACTATGAGGTGGAGGTTAGTAAAAATCGAATCTTTTATTTCATCCGTAGATTGAAATTTGCAAACTCTGGATCCAGAGAAATACAACATTGTCCAATGGTATGGTTCCTTTTACCATCAAAAGTTTGACTGCTTGAACTGGCTGAATACAAGAATCAGACAAAGGGCAGGCATCTCGTTGTATGTTTAAAATCTGATGTGAAACCAATATTTATATGGACTCTGTCTTTGACATCAGGAGAATAAATGTTTGTGTGTCTTCATCTGAGTACTGCACTGATCCACCTGGAGACCCTAGAAATTGTCCATGGCGACAGAAAGCCAGCTTCTCTGGTATAGGTAGGTACAGCAGCCATAGAGAAGATAGCATGTGGCAGAGATTCAAGATTCAAGATTCAAGATGTTTATTTGTCATATACACAATTACAGACACAGCGGTTTATTATTGGGTAATGAAATTCTTACTTTGCAACTGCCCGACCAAAGAACTGTGCTTACTAATATAAAAAGAAAAACAGAAGAAAATATATATAAAATACGAAATATAAAATATAAAAGAGAGATGCCAGTCCAACAGGAGAAGCCTGTGCCTGTACAGAAAAAATATAGATTTAGATCTAACAGCATGACGGAGGTGAGATTTCAGTGTTCATATAAAAGTTCATTGTTGTTCATTTGATCTGGATCAGTGCTCCGGAGGTCATGTTGGGACTGTCCTACAAGCAGACATTAGACATCTGGTCTCTGGGACTCGTTTTAGCCGAGCTTGCTCTGGGCTTCCCACTGTTTCCAGGGAAACACAGGCACTACATGGTGAGTATGTTATTCACCAACACCAATTCTCTCAGCATCCTGAGTTTGGTCTTCAATTGTGTTTTTGCAAATGAGACATCTGTCCCTTAGACCTTTTGTATGTTTCCAGATACACTAAAACACTATAATGTTTACAATCATACAGACTTTAGGCACATAGACTATGTCAAATTCAGATGTTCACAAGTTCAAATCTGATTTAAGATCTAACATGTAACCTTGAGTCTCTTGTGCAGTTGAGTCCTGTATGTTTATGCATTCCTTCTTAAATGAAAGCCCTGAAAGATGAGATTTCCACTGTGAAAAGAGAACTCTCTGGTGAAATCCATCACATGAGTATACATCTCTCCATCATTCTTTAAGGCCAAGAATAGTTTTATCAGTAAAGAGACTTCTCTGAGCTACAGTTCCTGACCCAGTATTTAATATCCACACAGATTCACACACTTGGTGAGCTCGCTGGACTGCACTGTTAACCTATTTAGAAACAAACACAACAAACTATCAAAGTGTGAGAAGATCTCTGATGTGTGTGTGTGTGTGTGTGTGTGTGTGTGTGTGTGTGTGTGTGTGTGTGTGTGTGTGTGTGTGTGTTTCTGTGTGTGAGTGACTGACTGGATGGCAGTGTGTGTGTGCCCACTGTGTTTATATGCTTGCATAACTGCGAGTGTCCTCATTTACATATATGTCAGTCCGTCTGTTTTTACAAGTGTGTCAGTGTGTGTTTCTTGATGTGTGTCAGTCTGTCTGTCTGCAGCAGTGTGTATGTCCGGCAGTGTGTGGGTGTGTCTGTGTGTGGGATTGAGTTCACAGGCTAGACTGGCCGACCTATATTACCAGCATTGCTGCTGCTACTACTGACATGGACACTGATGGACAGAGTAGCATGTAATCCTCACTCTCTATCCTCACACTGCAAACCCCCGCAGCAAACCCTACTTATTTAGGGACTGGAGGAAATACTACTGATAGGCTTTAAGCAGAGCTAATAATACTGTGTGGTCTAGTGTCAGACGCCTCTGTAGGACAATACCTTAACTAATAATTAAACTATGACCCCTTAAGCATAACCTACTTCTAATTCTAGCCTTACAGGGAGTCTGCGTATACACAAGATGCGCACAGTGTGATTTACTGTAAAAACACAGCAATATTATTCAAATACTAAGTGAATTCACAGCCTCATTTTAGCTTGTTATTTTGACAGCTTATTATGTTCCAACTCTGTGCCAGTCTCTGCCCACGAGATTAAATATGTTGTGATAATCTTTGCATTATCAAACCTTCACATCCTTTATTATTTTCATTGATACCATGAATTACTTATTAGTATTTATAGTATGTGTAACTATATGTCATTAAGCACTCATTATTATTCACTGCCTTATATGCTGTATATCACAATATACTCATTTATCTTATCAGTCATTATGTATAATAGGCCTCACATTATTTCATTTTTACTCTAGGTGCTTAAAACATAATAGTTGTGCTGAAACAGTGCGATCCTCTGTAGACTGCTCTGTGACTTAAAGGCAGCATCGACTTGGTTAAAAGCCCTGTGACAGCTGAAAGCCCCTGAGCTCGGTCTCCTGTGTGCTGTACCAGAGGTACTGTACCAACTCAATCCAGAAGAAGGAAAACGCTGTGACGAATGCTCAGGGCATAGTCTGTGATAGAGCATAGGCTGTGAAGTTGGGTGCAGATACCACACAGTCGCTGCTGCACAACAGAAGATATTCTCACTGATTTCTGTCTGGACAGGCTTGAGTTTATCTTGGTTGCTAAAACTGAGTGCTTTTTCTGACTGCAATACAAACTAAATCAACATTGTTTGTTGATAATAGTGTCAGAGCATGACCCTGTTTTTTCTCTGGCCCAGGCCAGGGCCATTTTGACCCTTGACGCTCATTCAATCCCTAACATTGCAGCATTTGGAAACCCATGTAAACTGTCCTCAAAACGTACACCATCCTCAAAATGCTATTTGCCCTAATGTGAGTTCAGGTTTTCCAAGAGCATGTGAATTAATCATGATGAATAAACCCTCATGTAACAGGTGACTCATAGCAGCATTCTGCAGATCTTGTTATTGCTATTGTGTCTTGTGTAAGTAAATGAGGTGAAGCAGGAAGTGAATGCTTGTATAAGTCCACAGTCACAGGTCAATAATTGTACCACATACTTTTGGAACAGCTCACCCTGGACAGTTTTACAACCTAGCTGACAACTCTTTCAGCTTGACCCCAGCAAAAATGTTGTTTCATTTTAACTAACTACTACTAACTAATACTTTCATATAGCAAATGTTTAGATGAACAAGTATGGGCTAGGAAGACATCACATAAGAAGACGACAGATGATCATATACATCAACAAGCGTAAACACAGACCCTGAGCACTGTCACTGGCATTTTCCTACAGGATGGGAATTTTGGTATTATTGATTGTACATCATACAACAACTAAATTATCGCACAAATGTGATAATTGCCGTAAATCTGACAATGGTCCTGACCACATATTAATGTCAATGATCACATATATTGACAAAGTCACAGGGAGGGATCCAGTGGCCCCTGCTGAAATCTAATGAGCCTCTGCAGTTCCTCTGTCCTCTCAGTAGTCACTTACTAACAATACAAAACACTATATATAACAATTTATTTCTAATCTTTTTGAAGTACCTTATGCAATGAGAACCAGGACTCATTTTCAAAATGGAGTAATGACTATAAGGAACTACTTCACATGTGCATCTTACTGAATTGGGAGTCGTGCACAGATGCTGGACATATAATTGGCCCCTTTATGGCCCCTGATTTTGATAAAATCTCTGATCCACCACAGACAGACTGAAGCTCCAGAATGCAGTATAATGTAGTATTAAAGTAGTACAAATGAATAAGGTGGTTACTCAGCGGGGTCCCTCCAGCCCCTCCTGGGCTCCCACTCTGACCCACTCCTGGATGCAGGACGTGGGTCAGACAGGCTCCTGGCCCCGCCCGCGACACTGAAGCTGTTACATGGCAGAATGTTTTGTAACAGTGTCTCTGAAGTCGTCCAATGAGAACAGCTGCTCGGAGTCACATGACACAACTTTTACATAAGAGTTTTTTTTTCTGCTGCGCGGCTCCATTGAGAATATCAGTGAGCCACTTCCTGGAGGACTCATGATCGTGCACAGTGCTCACCGGCCCCCGTCAGAGGACAGTGACATGAGCGGCAGCGGGGACACTGCTTCACAGGTGAGGGGATAGGCTTCACGCGACCTGCCGGGTATGGGGACAGAGAGTGAGAGCATGCTGCAGCTCGCAGCTGAGGCTTTCCAGTCCAAAAACTTCGAACTGGCCGCGGACATCTACGAGGTCCAGCTAGCGGTAGTCGGAGATCCAGGGAGCCGACAGGAGCTGATGGTGAAGCGGGGTGACGCGCTCGCGTTCGGGGGCAAATTCACCGAAGCCCTCGATGTGTACCGGCAAGCCTCAGAGACAGAGCGACTGAAACCGGCTCAGCTGGCCAACCTCGTAGAGTACCTGTCGGGTAGCATCCGGAGGCAGGACGCGGGTGGCAGCCAGCGCAGCGGCAGAGGAATGGAGGAGGAGGCGGCGGCAGCACCGGCAGCACCACCGGGGCATGCAGCTGCTGCCACCGCCACAGGTTGCGGGCATGCGGACTTCTCCTGCCGGATATGTCTGAGCTTTCTGTTCGAACCTGTGACTCTGCCGTGCGGACACAGCTTCTGCAAGAAGTGTCTGGAGAAGGAGCGGCCGGTCAAGTGTAAGGAGTGCAGGGACAACTCCCCGGCGGACGTACAGAGTTACCGGGTGAACGTGGTGCTCAGCAGCCTGCTGGCCAAGTGGCTCCCGAGCCTGCAGCAGGCCGGCCGGCTGAGGCGGGAGGGTAACGGGCTGTACGCCGAGAAGAGGATGGAAGCGGCGCTGGAGAAATACAACCAAGCCATACTGATAGGTAAGTGATTCTACAGGGAGTACAAGAAACTGTGCTACTTTATTTCCATCAGTTTGGTCATGTTTCTGCCCCACGACATCATGTGTGGTGACTTCAATGACAGCGTGTTACATGACTGCTACATGTCGTGTGACGGCGGCTGTGTGTGGGGGCAGTAGCCGCAGTTGACCGCCTCTCTGCGGGCTGCTGCTCTCAGCCGGGCCGCTGTGTTGGATAACAGGGGTTAGTTATGTAGGCTGGGCCAGTGGACCAAACATTGCGTAAGCACGTAACCTGCCCCCCCTCAGCTCCCTCATTGTGTAACGTCACACCATCGTTCAGGCGAATGTGGGTCAAGGGTATTATTGCAGGTCAGCTCCATGTGCGGGAATGGCTGCAGAAGTCTTATACAGTTTGCAGGTTGACCCACATAAACTGCGACTTCCACCCAGGGAGGCATGTTCAAATTTAAAGTTTTGTTATTGATCAGGATCTATGTTCAAGAGGGCGGTTTATTTTGTTAAAGATGAGAGACACTCGAGCTGCTTTTTATGATGCGTTTGATTTAGATGGATGGATTATTGAGCCAAAACTTCCTGTTGAAGTTTAAACGTACCAGGTACATAACACACACACTGAAGTAATACACTTTTTTAAAAACGATTTTAGGAGAGAAAAACGCTTCAGAGCGTCTGTGTCACTATAAATTAATAAGTTTAGTTAATTTGAATTGAATTCCTAAAATTCATAAAACTTTGAAAACTTAATTTGGGTTTTACCCACTTAAGTGTATTTTAAAAGTTGGTCCAACTATTGTCTTTAAGATTCTAGAAAATGATAAAGGGATTTTAAACATGGAAGAATATAAAGAAAATAAAGAGTGGATGGTGCAATGATTTTAACTACATTCCATCTCACTGGGTTGAGTTCTGATCGAGTTCTCCACAGCCACAGGCCCACGTCTTTCAGGACTGAGATATTTGACCTGATCTCATTCGAGTCTGTGCTGCTGCAGCTCAGCGGCTCTGTGCGGCCCGGTTGTGTAAGTTTACAGTTCCCCCTTTCACTGACAGCTGCATCGTCTGATCGAGGTACCGTGGTCTCCCTGGGCGGAACAGACAATAGAAGCCACAGTGTGAATTGCGTTGGGGGTTATCAACGTAGCAAACCTCTTTGTAAGCAGAAGCGGGGGGGTCATTTATCACCCAGCTGCTGCAGTGGAGCTTGCTCAGAGGCCAACAGTTTGTTGTTGTGTTGTGGTAGCTCCCACAGTGATAGATAGTGATCGCTCTGGACTGTGTCCAGGTTTGGCTTTGAGGATGTTTTTCAGAGGGATTCTGCTTGTTTACCAAAGGTGTTTTAATAGAGAATGATTAACAGAGAATGACATAACTGTCTTAGTGGAGGTTTGGTTGGAGCGACCCTGTCTATTGCCAACATTTTGGTTGTTAAGTAACGACACAGAATACCTACTTATGCAAACAAAGACTTTTTACAAATTAATTTGTGAGCTGATAAAAGAACAAGGTCTCATTTGAGCACCCTAATTCACACATAACACCTGCATAGTGTTTAAACTGGTGTGTGGACTCTATTTTGTTCCCTCTTATGACCAATTAACTCTGAACTTATATATATTCATATACCTCGGATGTGTAAATTAAATGTTTAAGTGGCAGGAATACCTCTTATCTTAGTATTAAAACTCAGTTAAGTTAATTTAAGAGTTGTAAGTAATAATTAGCACAGATCTGTGTGTGTATGTGTTCAAGCATGTATAACAAAGCTACCCTGTTGAAAATGCGTACTCTGCTAAACAATGACACCTCTGTCCAGCTGAGTGTTCTGCTGAGTCTTCTTACTTTACATTGACATATAAAAAAACCTTACACCTCCTAAGCATCAATTTCTGTTTTTATTTCATTCAATGATTTACTACCTGTGTCTGTAAAAAGCCAGAGATTCTGATTCCCATAGGACTAACTGCGACATTTGCATAAGTTTCTATAGTTATGAAACCTGCTATGTGGGTGACCTTGATAGTGCTGCATGGTTTTGTAATGGGTTTTTTCATAACACATTTTGTAATGTGGAAGCTGATCCAGTTGAAACATTCCTCTTGTCATATAACTTGAAGCATAACCACTAAAGGAAGCTTTTAAAGACAGAACAAAAAAGAATAAATTTATTGACCAAGTACTTCCAGCTTTTGAGAAATTCTTCTCCAGTTTCCTACATTTTACATCTTTGTATATTCAATTTATCTGAGTTGTGGATAAATAAATTTAATATATTTTTATATATATTTTAATGGAGAAAATATTTGATATTTGATACATTTATGATTGATCGGAATTATATATTTTCAAATTAATTAATAATGAAAAAAATATTTAAAAAAAATATTTTTCTCATCTGTTCTGCAATATCAAGTCCTACATCTAACAATTATTTTCCTTATCTATTCATTTAGTGTTTTCATTTTTTGAAATAGTAATAGATTAACCTATTCATTGTTTGGTACATATGTCAGTCTAACACTTAAAGAATTAACTTTATTTATGCTTAAAAATATTAAATGATTTATCAATTACCCAAATGAATGAATGAGGGTTTCAGTTATTTTCTTAGTGGTAAAAACCTTGAAAGGTCGTGGTTTGCTGATGTGTGAGGGGTCTTTCATTCCTGGGAAACTTCTGAGTTTACCAGTCAGGAAATAATCAGTTTTCAAGCTCATTTCTTCTAGTTTCCAGTATCTTGTTGGGCATGAAATCTGAATCATTCCCCTCACATGTTATCATTTAACCACATGAAACACATTTTTCAGAGATTAGTCATTCTTTATCAGATTTACTCAGTTCACTGTGGTCTGTTATATCTTGCTGTGGAATACTACTTGGTATTTGTGTCTTTTCACTTGGGATTACACACATGTTCTCAATAAAGGTTTCCAAAGCAATTAGCTGCCTTGGTCTCTGGCAAATTACAATGGATTCTTTTTAGCAGTGCTAAACGTTTTATACTTAAATAAATGATAAATTGATTAATTGAAAAAAAATCCAACATATTCATTGATTTTGAGAAATTAACACTGTCGCCAACTTTTCCTCATGTCCTCCTCAGCACCCATGGACCACATACTGTTCAGTAATCGCTCCCAGATCCACTCTAGCCTGAAACACCATGAAAAGGCTCTGAGAGACGCTGAGATGGCCTGCAGACTCAAACCTTGCTGGTCCAAGGTACGGCCGGAAAATAATGGGGCTCTGTTTGTCCAGCATACTAACACATCTGTGATAAGTAGCTGATATAAGTAAAAGTAAAGTAATGTATCTCCCATCTGTCGACAGGGTCACGCACGTAAGGCCCAGGCCCTGGTGTCGCTGGGTCGGGTGGGGGAAGCTCTGAGAGAGTACCTGGAGTGTTTGTCCATAGAGCCTGACTGTAGACTGGCAAAGACTGAGGCTCACAAGGTAAGTCCAACATTAGTGTAGTACAGGGTGGGCAGTAAGAGGTCCATATGTCTTCCATTAAACATAAATAAATGAATAGATAATAATAGAATAATTTATGGTGTCTTTCTAAAAAGCCAAAGACAACTTACAAAACATCATATTTAAACACAAGAATAATTTAAGTAAAATCAGTGGTTAAAATATAAACTACATTATTGTTATTGACTAGTTTTACTGCATGTATTGGATGTTTTACATCAGTATACATTAATGTACATTGTATTAGCGGCAGCCTGCACACTGGTCAGGTATTATATACTTTGCACCTTATAAAAGGAATAATACTATACCTAAGGGGAAAGGCTGACTGGCAAATTAGTTTATAATAAACATTGCGCCCCAGTCTCACTCTTACTAAAAGTGACTAAATAAAACATGATGCAGTGCACAGGGAATTGTTGCATAATCATAATCATAAATTCACATTGTTGTTTGCGGTCTCCTCTCAGCTCCTCAGTCATCTCCTGGCTCCAGTCACAGACCAGGTCCCTGAACACATCTCCGACTACTCCAGCATATGGTCTTCCAGGGCACACATCAAAAGCAGCTTCAGTGCTCCCTTCCAGGTAAGCGATGCCCTCACTTCTGTTCGTCAGCCCAGTCAAAGTACAGCATGATGTTAAAGGGACATGAGGTTTCATCATTCTCCTCTGTCGTCCTTTTCTTTCTCTCAGTCTCTTAGTCCCAGCTTGTTGTCTTCAGAGTCCAGACTCACCTTCACTCCTCCAGCACATGAGATGTCACTGGGCAGAGAGGCCACAGGCCCGGGAAGGCCTGAGGTCAGGAGGCCCTCTAACAGTTTCCTCCTCAAACGAAAGCGCAGGAGCTCAGAGGAGAAGGAGGAGGTGGAGGAGCGAGGACAGGAGAGGAACAACAAGCACAAGAGATGCAGATCTGGTGAGTTTTTGCAACATTATATGCAAACAGTGCACATGATGTAAATGTACATGAGCAGTGTCTTATGTATTGTCTGTTGATCTCTCCATACAGAGGCAGTGGTGGTGAGCGGCCCACTGAGCTGTGAGGTCGGTGATGTCTTGGACCCATCAGATGTGGAGTGTTCCCTTTGTATGAGGTACAGTTTGCTCAACAGCTACTTTCAGATCTAAAACCTTATGAGCACTCATACACTCTGTGATGAATGTATTGGCATTTGTGTAACATATGGTAAATCACAACTGACGTCTGTATAGCCTGTAATGACATTACAGTAAGTGATATACAGTAGTTTTAAGCCTGTAATATTCTGTTGTCCACATGGGACCAGACTACACCAACAGACAATCTGGACTTTACTAGCTTTTCTCAGTTCTTTCAAACATCTATGATAGTCTTCTTCAGCTGCTGAGTTTTATTTAGTTTGTTTTTTTCTGACTTAAGCATTGATTATTTAAACTTTTACAATTATTATAGACATATTATATACTTTTTACAATATGTCTGCAAGATTGGTAGCACTCTAATGCCACAGCTTTAACATTGTGTGTATGTGTGTGTTTCCCACTCAGACTGTTCTATGAGCCTGTGACGACGCCATGCGGTCACACCTTCTGTCTTCAGTGTCTGAAGCGATGTCTGGACCACAACCCAAAGTGTCCGCTCTGTAAAGAAGAGCTGTCCGAGGTACACAGCGTGAACTCATCTATAGTTTCAATAAAATTTGCCTCACTGTGTGAAACATTTTTATGTTAGGTAACATGATGCCAGGGAGCCAAAAACTTTGGTTACTCATCAGATGCAACTGATAGTGTTAATAATGATTTTATAAATGTCACAGTTTAGTTTAATTTACATTGATTACGTCAAACAGATACCTGCTCACAGTTTGAGGTCACCACTGGGGCCAATACCTCGTATCGGTGCATCCCTAGAATCTAGAGTGACGCACAGAATAAGATGATACGGGACAAATATAGAGCAGGCCCTAACATGGCTGTCATTGAAGAGTGTGTGGACCAAACTGTATTAACACGTTTCTAACATCTCTTTTCTTCTCAGTACCTGGTCCAGAGGCAGTACTGTAAAACAGTACTAATGGAGGACCTAATATCGAAGTATCTTCCCTCTGAGCTCATGGAAAGACAGAAGATCCACCAGGAAGAGATGGCTGAGCTCTCCAAGTGAGTTTGTGTCCCCATCTGCTCATGTCCATTGTGTGATTACCACATCTTGCGTTATTTTTTATTTTTTCTCCATTTTGTGTTTTCTCACGTCGTATCTATTCTTATCACAGATTATGACTTGTGCCTGACATAACACTCTCGATGTGAATATCTGCCCCTGTTTTTTGACCTACTGACCTACATTAGATAACACAAATTACTGACACACTGACCTCTGAGCGCACGCCATGTCAGGCATAGAATCACTCTCCTTGAGGCTGAGCCATACTCATGTCTCCAATAGATAACTTCTCTGAAACAGGAGCGACAGTGATTCACTCTCACAGTGGCCTCTGTTGTCACTGATAATAGAATAGTATATTTCCCTGTATTATGACTCTGCTAATGACTACATTAAATGCATTATTCTTTATTCCCTCCCTGTCTTTCCAGTCTTAACAAGAATGTGCCTATATTTGTGTGCACCATGGCCTTCCCCACTGTGCCGTGCCCTCTCCATATCTTCGAGCCTTGCTACAGACTGATGGTTCGCCGATGCATAGAGACAGGAACCAACTGCTTTGGCATGTGTCTGGCAGACAACCTCAAAGGGTCAGTGCTTGGATAGTGACTGTGTGTGCTCAATTAATGTGTCAGAGTGTACATATTATAGGAATGTTGTATATATCTAGGAAGTGTAACATCGGGCTTCCTGTCTACAGGTTTGCAGACTACGGCTGCCTGTTGGAGATCCGCGACGTGAAGTTCTTCTCTGACGGTCGCTCAGTGGTGGACACCATCGGTAGACGGAGATTCAAAGTCAGTCAGCACAGCGAGAGGGACGGATACAATACAGCTGATATAGAGTACCTGGAGGACGTTAAGGTAAGAGGGGGTGGGAGAGAAAGGACAAAGGGGGGAGATGGGGATGAGGTGTGGTGGAGTTAGTCGACAGAGAGGGGTGGAGGGGTCAAAGAGACATACCAGAAACTGTTGTACTGTAACTCAAAGGTGTTTGTGTCTGTGCAGGTGGAGGGTGTAGCAGAACGAGAGCTGCAGTCTCTGCATGATACAGTGTACGACCAGGCCCTGGTGTGGGTCAACTCCCTGAAGGCAGAGCAGAAGGAACGCATTGAGGGACACTTTGGACCCATGCCGGAGAAAGACTCTGAACTTCAGGTATAACATGACCACACACACACACACACACACACACACACACACACACA